ATATATATCTTTAAATATATAAATATAAATTATATATATTATTTTATGTGTGAGTATATATACCACATGTGAATGCAGGTGCCTGAAAAGTTCAGAAGAAGACATTGGATCCCTTGCAGCTGGGGTTACAGGCAGTTGTGAATGTGGGTGCTGGGAAATAAACCCATATCTTCTGCAAGTACAGTATAGATTCTTAACTACTAAGCTGTCTCTCCAGATCCTAATGTAGCAACCTTGTCACCAGAAAATGTAAGTCTTAACTACCAATCAAAATCTTATATTAGTATGGGAAAATTATCAACAGATTCTCCTAACATGGCCTGCTTGGTTTCATCTTCCCTACCTTTCAACCTTTGCTTGATCCTTATTGAGGAAATTAATTCAAGAATTCGACTCTCCAATTGTTGAGATACTTCTTCATCATGTACATTTTTACCAACCAATGTTTTGAAAACTTTGCTAACATTTTCTAGAGTATGCACTTATACACACATTCTATTGAATCCCAAACGGTGTGATGATCTCTATAGAGAACATAAACCTGACCACAAATGCTATTAATTACTTTATGAAAAACTACAAAGCAAACTAGCTGTCAGCTTGTAGAGCTACTGCACATTTCAAGGTTATATCTCTGTGTGAAACTGGGGCATTAGTGGCATGACAGGGCCCCAAATGTGATGCCTCATCTAAATGATTCTTCTGTGTTTCACTATTGCTAATCTGCCTAGGAAAATAATTTGTCAGCGGGTATGATGGCACATGCCTGTAATCCCAGTACTTACCAGGTAGAAGCCAGCCTAGAGTATGTAGTGAGACTCTGTTTCAATAATAAAATAGTTTTATTTCTTTCAACTTTTTTTTTCATGTTTTTTGAGACAGTGTCTCAATATGTAGCTCTATCTGTACTGTTCCTCACTTATATTTTTCTTATGAGTAAACTTGGGTTTTTTGTTGTTTTGCTTTATTTTGTTGTTGTGTTTTCTTTTCTTTCTTTCTTTTTTTTTTTTTGAGACAAGGTCTCAGTATTTAACTCTTGTTGGCCTAGAACTCACTGTGTAGACCAGGCTGGCCTCAAACTCACAGAGAGCCGTCTACCTCTGCCTCCTGAGTGCTGTAATAAAAAGATATGTTTCATTACATGTAGCTTAAAGTTAGGTTTTCATTTTTTTAAGAGTTGATAATATTTTTTACTAAATTTTCTGTTTATTTAATTTGTTTTTCTATAGGTTTGAAAACCTTTTATTTTTCAAGAGGATTTTTATAAATTATAAAAATTATCTTTTTGAAAGAAGGGTAGTGATTTTTTTTCCTCTTTACTTGGAAATGTGTTTACTGTTATATGTGCTCCCTAATATAATTATAGTTCTTTTTATATTTTCTTATTGATTTATTAATCCTGACTGTTTGTCCTTTACATTTTTAAAAATTCTGTTTCTGAAATATTTGTAAATCCATTAGGAATTAAAAAGTAATACAGAAAAGTCTTTGTAACCTTGACCCAGTTTGCCTGTAGGCTATATCATACAAAATTATAGCATAAAAAGAAACCAGGAAATTGACAGTGACAGAATATTTATAGTTCTATGCTACTTTGTCACATGATATAAATAGCCACCTAAATAGTCAACTTTTAAAACTGGGGACCAATGAGATAGTTCCATGGGCAATGGTACTTTCCACAAAAGCCTAGTGACCTAAGTTCTGTCCCTGGAACCCACTTAAAGGTAGAGAATTGACTACAAAAAGTTGTTCTTTGATTTCCACATGCTCACTGTGGCACATTGCTTCTGTACAAACAATACACATAATATAATAAAAGTTTTAAAGATATAAAACTATTTTCTTATGCTACCTTTTCATAGTCACACCCAATGTTTCCTTGTCACACTTAACCCCTGACAGTTACAAATGTGTTCTTCATCTTCTTACTTTACATTTGCAGCTACTTTGTATCCTGGCCATGTGGGCTTTAATGTCACAGTCTACCTTTTCCTTATTTTCTGTATTGCTATACAGACCCATGAGCTGGCTTCTAGGATTCTGTTGAGCAACTTGGAGAGCATCTGAGCCTTTTCAGGGTGAACTGTGTAGAGCAGAGCAACTCTGAGTATAGGAGGTTTTCGTCACTACTAAGATAGGACCCTTCTAAGCACTCTTTCCCCCTGCCTCCTATCTACCTTGGCAGGGTATGTGTAGGGGGAAAAAACTGCTGGTCCCCATCCTGCTTCTCCAGCCAAGTAGTTCCTTACCATTACCCTTGTAACGGGTAATTACTTTTTCTTAGGCCTCAAGTCCTTCCCTCACACACTTGTGTTCCTCTGTGCCCTGTGGAGTACTCAAATGGGACCCACTGGACATATCTAGGGTTCTGTCTCTTTGAAGATATTCTCTGCCCTGAAAGCTACTAGACTTAATGATTCACTTAAGCTCTAAGTAGTTCACCCGGCTTGTCTTTTGTTTTCCTTCCCTATTCTTGTGTGGTCTGGAAGTCATCTCATATGTTCACTTTATCTGTTTCCTATCCAGTGAACATTGTTACTTCATATATTTTAAAAACAAAGAGAATTAACTGCCCTAACAAAAATTCCTATAGTTCTGGCCGGGCAATGGTGGCGCACGCCTTTAATCCCAGCACTCGGGAGGCAGAGCCAGGCAGATCTCTGTGAGTTCAAGGTCAGCCTGGGCTACCAAGTGAGTTCCAGGACAGGCACAAAGCTACACAGAGAAACCCTGTCTCAAAAAACAAACAAACAAACAAACAAAAAATTCCTATAGTTCTGAAAATCATGGTTTTTTTTTCATTGAGATTACTTGTTATATTCAAGTGGAAACCAACCCATTCCCAAACAGGTAATGGCTGGGTACACGACTATACCATTACAACTACGATTTGTCCAGCACTTACTGGGAGCCAGGCACAACTTACACAGAGTGCTGCATCTACTCTTCACTACCATGTGAAATATTCTTCCCTATCTACAGTTAAAGAGATAGGTTAAAAGAATAAGCAATTTTTTCTTGTTGTTTGAACATTAAAATCACATTTAAGCAAGGTGTGGTGGTTCTACCTGTAATTCCAGGTTGTGGGAAGTGGAGGCAGGAGGATTGCAAATTTGAGGCCTGCCTGACCTATATAGTGAGATACTATCTCAAAAAGTGTACTTTTCCTCAAACTTAGTTGTATAAAATGTATTGTGTGTGTGTATTTAATTTTATGTATATGGACATTTTGCCTGCATATGTGTGTGTGTATTTGTGTGTGTGTGTGTGTGTTTGTGTGTGTGTGTGTGTGTGTGTGTGTATTTGTGTGTGCCTGGTGCCCATGAAACTAGAAAAAGGTAACGGATCTCCTGGAACTGAAGTTACAGATGGTTGTGAGCTGCCCTGTGGATGCTCAGAATCGAACCTGGATTCTCTAGGAAAGCAGCCACTAAGCCATCTCTCCAGCCCATACATACATAGAATGGGAGAAAATATTTGCTGGCTATACTTCAGACAAGCAGTTAATATCTAGAATGTATAAAGAATTGCAAAAATTAAACACCAGAAAACCCTGCCAATCAATATATGCACAATGAACTGAATAGACAGCGTACTTTTTAAAATTAAATAACTATTCTAATTAGCTCACAAATAAAAACAGCTAGTTTAACCTAGCCACTCAAACAATTGCCCAGGCCCAATACAGTTAGAATGGCCATTCTGAAGCAGTGGAGCTTCACTTAGGTTTTTTTACTTTCATTATCAATTACATGGGTGTTTTGCCTGAATGTTTGTCTATGTACTATGTACATACTATGCCTTGGAGGACAGAAGAGGGCATCAAATCCCCTGGCACTCTGCCATGTGGGTGCTGGGAATTGAACCCAGATTTTCTGGAAGAGCAGCCAGTACTCTTAACCTCCTCAGTTCCTCAATTACATTTTTATTGACTTATCTATACAAAAAGAAGAAACTCTGAGTTGAAACTAGGAAAAAAATAGCATTAAATTCTCTTTCATGATTCATGTTCTCAAAAGAAACATCTGGGCACCTGGCATGCACATGGTACATACATACATGCAAGTAAAACACACAGATAAAATAAAAATAAATAGACCTTTTTTAGAAGAAGAAGCATGACTAGCCAATAAATATTTCAAAAGTGTTTAACATCCAGCCATCAAGGATATGTAAATCAATTATGTTATGATCCCACTTCACTTCAGTCAAAATGGCAATCATTGGTTGTGTTTTAATATAGGTAATTTGTAGGAAAATTAAGCAGCATTTTACAGGACGTGGGAAATTGAACTGTGGACTTTATGTGGCCTGCAACTACTTTACTTTGCTGTTTTTAACATTTGACAGCCTACTATAGAGAAATCAAATAAATTATTATGGCTTGAAGTATACTTCCTTAGGGGTAGATCACTTGCCTAGCATGCCTGTTCCATCCTACAGTGCACACATATCAGCATATATGGTTCTCAACCTGTGCATCATGACACCTTTGGCAAACCTCTGGCTCCATAAATATTTACATTATGATTCATAACAGCAACAAAATTACAGTTATGAAGTAGCAATGAAAATAATTCTATGATTGGGGGTCACCATAACATGAGGAACTGTATTAAAGAATCACAGTATTAGGAAGGTTGTGAAACAGTGGATATGAATATACATGTGTGCTTGCACACACACACACACACACACACATTTATTTTTTTACTGAAAATGGGAGTAGACAGGACAGAAGATTCTCAAATTGAGAATATAAATGAATTCTGAAGATTTAAACAAGCTTTTTTGTAGAGAATGTAACAATTTGAATGACCAAACATTTGCACAATTGGAGTAAGACGATGTAATAGAAATATGAGTTATATTTAAAGAAAAAACTGACTTTAGTGAATAACATTGAAAGTTCTGAGCATTGACCCTAATTATGTTTTTTGAGCTTTTATTATAAGCATCAGGTTTTTCTTATTTTGAAAATACCTTGACAAACATACAGGTTGGCTGAACTAACAGGCCGTCCGATGAGAGTTGTTGGCTGGTATCATTCCCATCCTCATATAACCGTTTGGCCATCCCATGTTGGTAAGTGTTATAAGGTTGCAGTGTTTGTTTATTTCCCTCAAATGAATATAATTTTTCCTCCATTACATAGCATGGTCATCAAAAGGATTTCCTTCTAAGAAAAAGCCTATCTTCTAGTCTAGAGAAAATTATCAAGTCTTAGGGATAGCTGAAATTTTCAATTTTTTTTCTATGCTACATTTTGTGGTAGGGCTACTCTTGGGTTAAGCACCTGGAGTTACTACTTAATAGCAAACTTTTCATAATATTCTTTAACTTGGCAAAATACCTTCTGACATTCATATTATCATTACAGTATCTCTGTTTTACCTGTAGAATATGAATGTTGACAAGATAACCAATAATTAGTCACTACTGTTATCTCTAAATAAAGTCTGTTAAATATAAGTTATTAACAGAATATTTTTATTTATATTTCAGATGTTCGTACACAAGCCATGTACCAAATGATGGATCAAGGCTTTGTAGGACTTATTTTTTCCTGTTTCATAGAAGACAAAAACACAAAGGTATTGTATGTATAAGTGTATGTGTGTACATATACCGTTTGGCCATGTATGTGTGTGTGTTTGTGCACAGAATAGATACAGAATAGAGAAAAATCTCCTTGCAATTTTAATAGGATGGCCAGGGAAGTTTTCAATGGAAAGGGTTATTGAGTCAAGATTAGAAGAAGGTAAGGGAGCAAGTCTTGAGTATTTCTTAGGGGAAGATCATCCTTGACAGAGGAAATAGCAAGTGCAAGCACCCTAAGGTGAGTGTGGCATTTTCAGGTAACGTTAAGGAAGTTGGTCTGGCTGCAGTAGAGAGAAAACCATGACAATATATTCCAATTTGCCTCAGTCTTAATTTTTATACTTACTTTGCAATGCCCTATTTCACTAGCCTTTTTATCTCTTGGAAATATTCTGATTTGGTCATCCTTAAAGAGGCCCAAAATGTAATGGGAACTAGTTTTTGTAAGGCCTTTACTTTGCCTCTGAGTTGGGAAGCCATTACAGGGTGACTTTATGTCTTAATAGAATTATTCTAGGTATTATATTGCTAATGGACTGGACAGGATTGGAGTGGGAAGGGTGAAATTAATGGCATCAGAGAAACCAGTTAGGAAGATATTGCCAGTAATCTAGGCAAAAGATAATACAGCTTTGATCATGGTGTGAAGACTGAATATTTTCCATAAAGTCATTGTCTTCTAGAAACACTAGATTTCAATATTTGGAACTTTATAATTATTTTTGAAATGCTTTTGGTTTTTTCACTTTTAATTTGCTTATTGTCATCATAAATAATAAATGAGGTTAATCACTTTCCTGGTTCTCATATTTATTAATAATTCTATCTTATGAGAAGATGTTTGGCTGGACTTGTATTGATTGTGTATATGGTTTTTCTCACAGAAATTGATTTATTTATGGCATATTCTATAATCTTTAGAATCTCTTGTAGCCTAATATGTCCATAAAAGCCTTTGAGTTTTAAGTTAGAGTCTACTAAATTGCTATGAAATTTCCAACACAAAAATGATTACTGGTACACCAGGTGGTGGTGGCTCATGCCTTTAATCCCAGCACTCAGGAGTCAGAGGCAGGTGGATCTCTGAGAGTTTGAAGCCAGCCTAATCTAGAGATCGACCTCCAGGACAGACAAGGGTATACCTTTTTGTCTCAACAAACAAAAAAATGATTAATGGTTAAACACAGAAATGCTTGTTATACTGAGTCAATTATTACACATTGTATATTTATATTGAATACTATAATGTACTCTGTAAAGACATCCAGATATAATGTCTCAAGAAAAAAATAACAACAAAATGAATCCTTTTGTGTATGACATTTCCTTTCTATTTTTTTTTTTTTAATAGACTGGTCGGGTACTCTACACTTGCTTCCAATCCATACAAGCCCAAAAAAGCTCAGAGTAAGTATGACAGAGAAGTTATTATTGAGGGACTAATGCCTAGTCATGGAATTGATTGTTCTGTTTCATTTAATTTTTTTCATTAGTAAGACACTAATAGTACTATATTTCTACTCTTACCTACTAACATTTCTAAGAAAAATTAGAATTTCTTCACCAGTTTGGGTATTGTAAAAGTGTAGGAAGCTTGAGCCAGATACACAGTTTCTTTGTTATAGCTATATCACCATAGTCTTGGTCTACATTTCCCAAATTGTGTTGTACTACTAGTTTCCCTTTCTCTGGGGTATTCTAAACAAAGATCAAATGTGAAGAAATTTAGAGATTTTTGTAGATACTTCTCTGTTGCTACATAAACATTTTCAGTGTTGTTAAGGATGGAACCTGGGGCCCCATTAATACTAGGCAAACATTTACCATGGAAATGTAACTCTTGCCTTCCTGCCAAAAAAATAATTTCAAAATTATAATATTTCATTTAAAAGTTTGTATAGATTAATTTTCTCATTAAAATATAGTAAGCAGGTGTAGTTAGAGTTTTCCTGCCTGGCCCACAGTCAGGACAAATCTCTCTCACCTGCCAGTCCCACAGCCGCTCAGACCCAACCAAGTAAACATATTGCTTACAAACTGTATGGCCATGGCAGGCTTCTTGCTAACTGTTCTTATATCTTAAATTAATCCATTTTTATAAATCTATACCTTGCCACGTGGCTTGTGGCTTACCGGCATCTTCACATACTGCTTGTCATGGTGGCGGCTGGCAGTGTCTCCTCCCACCTTCCTGTTCTCTCAATTCTCCTCTCTGTTAGTCCCGCCTATACTTCCTGCCTAGCCACTGGCCAATGAGTGTTTTATTTATTGACCAATCAGAGCATTTGACATACAGACCATCCCACAGCAAGCAGGGGCTGGAGAGATGGCTCAGTGGTAAAGAACACTAACTACTCTTCCATAGGACCCAGGTTCAGTTACTAGCACCCACATGGCAGCTTATAGCTGTCTGTAGCTCCAGTTCCAGGGGATCTGACACTCTTGCACAGACATACATGCAGGCAAAACACAAAAAACAAAATATAATAAAAAAACAAACAAAAAACCCATAGTAATCTATTGCTGGGCATGGTGGTGTGTGCTTTTAATCCCACCTTCCCACTCAGTATGGAGGAAGCAGAAGCAGGTGTATCTCTGTGAGTTCCAGGCCAACTAGGGCTATATAGTAATATCCTGCCTCAAAAAACAAAAAATAAAACAAAACAAACAACCTAAACTCTACCTACTGTTATTATTTTTGTTTTATCTTGCTGTCACAAATAAAGGTGATGGTCACTGATACCATCCCACTTCCATTCACCAAAATGTAGCTACTATTTTTTTCATTTTTTTCTGATCTCTAATGGTTTGCTTCTTTTTATTTTTGTGTTTTGAGACGGGGTCTTATGTACTCCAGTCTGAGCTTGTAATCCTGCTGCCTGTGCCTCCTCTGTATTGGGCTTTTCAGACCCACCTGAAGTTTGCCTTTGTATTGTATTAACAATTGACATTAGACAATACTGATTTGGCTCTTCATGATTACTAAATTTTCATAGTTACAAACATCTGTGCTCAAGATTATAATCATAATTTCATTGTATATGTTTTGTATATTGATTAATTATAATAAAAAATAAATTTCATCATTGTACTTAGGTAAATATTATTCAACTAACTAATGTCAACTAGTATACTATGATGATTCTGCTTTTTTCTGCGTAGGTTTTGTTTTTTGTTTTTTGCTTTGCTTTTACATGATGTTTTGAATAGATTTTCTCCCTCATTTTTATCACTTCCTTGAGTTCTAAACTCTTAGAAATAATATGAAAACACTTGGAATCCCTACATTTTAAGGATTACTCCATGAAACCATCCTATCCTCATCTGACATCTCCCTTAGGCTTGTTGCTCAACTGATATTCAGGGTGATGGGGGCCTGGTTTCTTTACTCCTGAGTTTTATCTATTATAGTTTGTATTCTTTTTTTTGGTTTTTCGAGACAGGGTTTCTCTGTGTAGCTTTGCGCCTTTCCTGGGACTCACTTGGTAGCCCAGGCTGGCCTCGAACTCACAGAGATCCTCCTGGCTCTGCCTCCCGAGTGCTGGGATTAAAGGCGTGTGCCACCACCGCCCGGCAAATAGTTTGTATTCTTGAGTCATTGTCATTTTGCTGAAGAGATCCTCTAGTAAGTTCCTAAGAATGGTGATACATTTTTTGAATCCTACTTGTCTGAAATGTTTTATTCTTAATAATAGTTATGAGAATTGAGGTAGAAGTCCTGAATTCAAGGTTAGCATGACCTTATAGTTAGCAGAAGCAGATCCATCAACAGCATCATCTTTACAGCTTTCTCTTCCTTAGTAGAACACATGTCAAATACTTTTTTCCACATCCCTCTCTAATTCCTCCCTCTCTCTGTAGAGAACTAGAAATAGAAGGGAACTTCTACAACATTTATGGGCATTTATTAAAACTATAAATTAGCTGTTATACTCATTGTTGACAAATAAGTTTGTCACATAACAACAGAAATAGAATAAACATTTGCCACTGTTCTTCAGCATTGAACTCATAGTTCTATCGAGAGCAACAAGGTTCAGCATCAAAGTTAGGCAAGCAAAGTTTCATGGTTCATGTTCAAAGCACAAAATCAGTTTTTATTTATTAGCAGTACACAAAAGGAAAATGGGAAAACAATTCCATTTAAAATAACATTAAATTTAGTAAAATATGTAAGAGAAAATTTAACCAAGGCAAGGAGAAACTTGATCCATTAAAACTAGAAAGTACTTAAAGAAATAAAAGAATATACATATATACTTATATGTATATGTATATGATTGATTGAGTTTGCTTCTTTGTTTCAGTGATAAAACAATGACAAAAACAGTTTGGGGATGAACTGGTTTGTTTCACCTTATATCTTGCCGTCTATTATTGAAGGAAAGTAATGCAGAAATTCAAGATAAGAACCTAGAGCAGAACTGGTGCAGAGGACATGGAGAAGTGTGGCTTACTGGCTTTCTCAGCCTGTTTTCTTATAGCACCAAGGACTACCTGCCCAGGAGTAGTATCATCCACAGTGGGCTGGGTCATCCCACATCAATCATTAATCAAGAAATTGCTTCCACTGATATTCCCACAGGCCAATATGATGAATGCAGTTTTTTGATTAAGGTTCCCTCTTCTCAGGTTACTCTAGTTTTTTATCAAGTAAACAAAAACTAACACAATGATATACTGAAAGACTTGATATTGTTAAATGAAAATACTCTACAAAGATATCTAGAGTCAATGAAATACTTACATAATTACAAAGGTCTTTTTGTTGCAGACATGGAGAAGATAATTATAAAATCTAAGAGGCATGGAATAACCAATATTGATAAAAAGACCAAATCAGAGAAATAAGTTTTTAAAACTTACATAGTGTGAAACTAGAATATAGATACGGACCAATGGAACAAACTGAGAGACCCAAAATAAAATCAAATCAGCTTTCAGCAAGGGTGTCAATGTCATTGAACAAGAAGCGAATATTTTCTTCTGAGTGGTGCTTTGACAACTCTATATACAGAACAGTTAAGTTGGACCCCCCATTTCATAGCATATATAAAAATTGACTACAGATAAACCAGTGAACTAAATGTATAAGCTAAAACCATGAACACTTAGAAGAAAACATAGGTTAAATCTTTATGACATTTGAGTTTTGCAATATGACAAGTTTTCATAAATGTGACAGCAAAACATGAATAACAGAATAGATACATTTGCAAAACATAAAACTTGTGTGTGAAAAGATATTAAGAAAGTGAAAAGACAGCCTATAAAGTTGAAAATATTTGCCAATTTTATAACTGATGAAGATATACTATCTAGAATATTATGAAAGAAATCTTAGCATTGGACATGATAGTTCATTCCTGTAATCCAAATACTTAGGAGGCTGAGTTTGGAGGATTGCAGTGAGTTCAAGGAAAATCTCAGTTACATAATGAGTTATGGTCCAGCCTAGGCCACACCATGAGATCATTGCCAAACCCTGACTCAAACAAGTCTTAATACTGGATTTGGTGGTAAATAACTATATTCTACCAGTATTTGGCAGGTAGAGGCAAGAGAATCAGAAGTTCAAGATTACCCTGGCTGCAAAGCAAGTTCAATGCCAATCTGGGCTACATGGGATCCTGTCTCAAAAAGTCAAAAACAATAAAGACAAATTATCATTAAAAAGATGAGTGAGCCAGACATGGTGGTGCACACCTTTAATCACACACTCAGAAGGCAAAGTTAGGTGCATCTCTGGGAGTTCAAGGCCAGCATAGACTACATAGCTACCCAGTGGGACTCTGTCTTGGAAAAGAGATGAGAGACATGAATTACCAATATAATATAATAATGAAATAGTTGACATGACTTTAGATTTAGAGATAGTAAAATAAAAATTAAAAAAAAAATAATAAGGAACTGGGGGATGCCTCCATAGCAAAATGGATAATTCTCTTATCCAGAGAATAGAAGACCAAGATTATCAAGAATATCATGGACTAGAATTGATTAGTGGTATCAAAGTGGTTCTAATCAGTGATCCCACCACAGACAAGTCATCAGCAGTACTTGTGAACATAGATTCATTTGTCAGACTCTCCAAATATTCCTGGCTTAAGTCACTTTTTTGAACATATGCTGTTTGGTAAATATCCTAAAGAAAACGAATATAGTCAGTTTCTTAATGAACATGGTGCAAGTCAAAATGCCTTTTCTAGTGGAGAGCATGCCAATTACTATTTTAATGTTTCTAATGGACACTTAGAAGGAGCAATAAACAGGTTTGTTCAGTTTTTCCTGTGCCCCTTATTTGATTCTAGTTGTAAAGACAGGTGACTGCAGTTGATTCAGAACATGGGAAAAATGTGATGAATAACACCTGGATACTCCTCCAGTCAGAAAACGCTATAGAGAAT